TAGAAATAAGTTTTGAAGTATTTGAGAAAACTACTACTGAATGTAACTGGAAGGACAAGACATTATATAGAGACAAAAATGAGACAAACTAAATCAAGGAGCTGCAAGACACTCAAATGTTCAAATCATTTCATATTGTCAAGTAAAGATTGTGTCAGATTGTGAGATTTACTCACAGTGGGAAGAACAAGCACAACTTTTACTCAAGTAAAAGCAGGGCAGTACACAGGGGAGGACAGAGGGCTCTGTTGTCCCAGGCCACAGGGTTTAGGGGCCCAGAGTTGGACCCTTGTTCTATTCATTTATATTAGAGGGGACCGTGTGAGGCTTCTTGCTCCAGTCCCCCAAAATTTTTTTTTGACGGGCCTGAGTAAAAGTACTATTACACTATACAATATACTATTTGAGTAAAAGTACTATTACACTATACAATATACTATTTGAGTAAAAGTACTGTTACGCTATACAATATACTATTTGAGTAAACTGTTCCACTGTACAATATATTACTTGAGTAAGAGTACTGTTACACTACAAAGTATACTACTTGAGTAAAAGTACTGTTATACTACACAATTACTATCAAAGTAAAAGTACCGTTACACTATAAAATATACTATTTGAGTAAAAGTACTGTTACACTACAAATTATACTATTTGAGTAAAAGTACTATTACACTACACAATATACTATTTGAGTAAAAGTACTGTTACACTACACAATATACTACAGTACTTGAGTAAAAGTACTGTTACACTACACAATATACTATTTGAGTAAAAGTACTGTTACACTACACAATATACTATTTGAGTAAAAGTCCTGTTACACTGTACAATATATTACTCGAGTAAGAGTACGGTTACATTATACTATATATTACTTGAGTAAGCTGGGATGACTAGTATGTCTCTGAGTTGGTCTGGGAACACCTCGGGTCCCCCCAGAGAAGCAGGAGGAAGTGTCTGGGGAGTGGGAAGTCTGCTGCCTCCATGACCCAGCCCAGATACAGCAGAAGAAACTGGCTGAAGCTCTCGTGATGAGTTCATGTTAACAGTGTGTAACAGAGTCATGTTAATATGCAGTGTGTGTGTACAAGTACATCTACTGCCACCACTGACACACTCACATTTATCTCATTGATTTTACATAAACAAGCAATAATGTTTTATTTATACTAAACATTTACAAACCCGTGTTTAATTCTTTATCCACAAATGAAACTTCAGCTGTTCATTAGGTCCCCGAGGGGCAAGAGTTTAACACACACATGACAAATAACACAAAAACCTCCAAGACACAAGACAAAAGAAACACACAGCTGCTCAGTTATGACAAACATCACAATCACAATTATAGTAATATTTGATGACACATTTGTTTAAAAGCTCATGTACATTTGTAAAGTGACTAGTGCGCACACATCACTGAACAGTATTTTTAAATTGAATACTTATATGATTCTCCATTCATGATTTTTTATTTATTTGCACAACCATAATGTTGTGACAATACAATACAAAAGGGAAGTCATACTGATTTTAGAGCCATTGAAAAAGGACATTGAAAATGAATAACACAGCATGTGTGCTTGTCATGTCCACCATAACTTCTCCATGTTCCAAATCCCTTTATCCTCAAATCCAAAGAGAGATCCGTCAGAGCACATCTTAGTTCCAGCAGCTCCTGAAGCTTTGTCCAGCCTCTGTCTATTGTGTGAGCCTCCTGACCCCTGTCTCCGCGTAATACCTCCATCTGCGATCGATGACAGACGTCGATCTGTTTGTCCACTCCCCCGTGCTTCCTCCAAAACTACATTTTATTCCATTTTTCTGTCTCTTCATCCCCTAAGCCTGTGCCCTGTGCCCACCCGGCCTGCTGTCTTATGAGGAGGTAGAACACACTCACGGATCAATACGACTCTTCTGTCTGTGAGGCCTCAGGACAGATCATATTAAAGTGCAGATGACAGGTCTCCATGTGTTTCTAATTCTGTCACGGTTTGCTGTAGTCAGTATTTAACATAGTTTTACATCAGGTCAAGGTCCTCCATTAATATATGTATATCTTGATGTCAGCAGACTGCAGGATTCAGACTGCAGGATTTGAAACATGTATAACCTGATAAACTGATCTTATGCAAATCAAGCAGCTGTCTAAAAAAAGACTAGTGCTCTTTAAAAGTTTTGTTTTGAACATTTCATAAAAGAAAATGTGTTTGTCATGGTTAAATTAGAGCCAGTGTACTTCTGATGGGAACAATGTGAGAGTCATTTTTCTAGATTTGAATTTTAAGAAAGGCCAATGAAGAGTGGAAAATCTGCGTCCATAAAAATCACTACTCACTCCTCTAATCTGAGGTATTCAAGTTTTCAAATATTTCATCAGTTGCAGATTTGTTTTTGGCACCCGCTGTTCTAGGAGGGGCTGTGTGGAGGGAACATGGGGGGAGCTACAGAGAACTTCCTGGTTCTATAGGTTTGTGGGCGGAGCCTTAGACAAGAGTTGTCGTACACCCAAAACGAAAGTTCCATTAGTGTCAGTGAGAGATCATCAAACCTGCACCAGTGATTCAGAAAACAACAGAATGTATTTTGTATAGAACATGATGACACATCACAGCAAAATGTTGCACAAGCTGTTTCTGAGAGACAGTGGAGGAGGACAGAGGCTCTACTGGAGCAAGAACTCCTCCAGTCCAGACACCTCCTCTAGTCCAGAGACCTCCTCTGGTCCAGACACCTCCTCTAGTCCAGACACCTCCTCTGGTCCAGACACCTCCTCTAGTCCAGACACCTCCTCTAGTCCAGACACCTCCTCTAGTCCAGAGACCTCCTCTAGACCAGAAACCTCCTCTGGTCCAGAAACCTCCTCTGGTCCAGAAACCTCCTCTAGTCCAGAGACCTCCTCTGGTCCAGACACCTCCTCTGGTCCAGACACCTCCTCTGGTCCAGACACCTCCTCTGGTCCAGACACCTCCTCTGGTCCAGAGACCTCCTCTAGACCAGACACCTCCTCTGGTCCAGAAACCTCCTCTGGTCCAGAAACCTCCTCTGGTCCAGAAACCTCCTCTGGTCCAGAGACCTCCTCTGGTCCAGAGACCTCCTCTGGTCCAGAGAACCTCCTCTGGTCCAGAGACCTCCTCTGGTCCAGAGACCTCCTCTGGTCCAGAGACCTCCTCTGGTCCAGAGACCTCCTCTAGTCCCATTTTGAAAATGAGAATCTACAGTCATTGCATTTGGATGCCAGTCCTTGAGATTACTGCATTCATTTCAAATTCTCCATATCATCCGGGTCCCCTGAAATCACTGTAATTAAATCAGCTTCAACACTAAGACACAAAATCAAGCATGAGACTTAAAGTTTCAGGCCTGTGGAGCAGTAGTCTCTCTGTAAACAGTGATGGATGGAGCTGGTGCACTCTGGGACACGCAGAATAAACTAAACCACTGTGGAGAAATTGTGTATTATGTGGTGGCCTGAGTTTTGTGAATCAGCATCACACAATACTTGAGATGATTCCAACTACATTTAATAACAAGTTTTGATCAAACCCTAAACTGACATTCATGATGTCTAATGCTCCACAGATGGAAGCTAATGCTGCACTGAAATGTTACTCTGTAATTATGTATCATTTATCGTCTGGGTGAAAAGGCAGGAGGAGAAATAGTTTAACACCACAGTAATGTGTTTTGGATAGAACATGATGAAGCATCACACCAACATGTTGCACAAGCTGTTAAATGTATATGAAGCTCTGCTGAAGCGTGAGCTCATCTAGAGCTCAGATCTGTTAGAGTCCAGAGATCTCCTCAAGTCCTGGGCCACAGACAGAGGACAGGCCCATGTTAATGCTCACACTCATGTTTTATTTATAATCTCTTATTAACAGTATTAAACACCACAAGTAAATGACCAGTGCTTATTACAGTCTTATAAAAGCTTTAATAAGAACTTTATCATAAAAAGCTGCCAGTGAGTCTAACCTGTCACTCACACGTTAACCCGCCTCCGTGCCCACCCTCTGCTGTCTCACAGAGACGAGGTACAACACATCTTGGATCAATACAGCTGTGTGTGTGTGTGTGAGTGCGTGCACAGGCGTGTGTGTGAATCCTCCGGCTGAGACATTAAATTATAGAGAAGCTCGGAGGACGGGAGCGTGTGGGGCACAGTTTCCATGTAAATCCTCTTATAATGAGACATCCTGACAGCGCAGCGCCACCTGGGGGCAGTACGTCAGGAGAGGAGTCAGCTGTGAGATGTGTGGATGAGCAGAGTCGTTCATCAGGTGCTCTCCATGCTCAAATGGAAGATATTAAAGGCACTCTACCTGAGTTTGACTAGCTTCCAAATATTTGAAAAGAAATCTATTCCTCACTTACTTTATGTGTTCTGACTCAAGCTTCCTAATCATTCAGTTATTCCAGAGACCAGAGTGGAGTTTTCAGTAGAGCTAACAACAATTAGTATGCTAATGAGCACTTCCTAATTACTGGACAATAAAATGGTTTATAATTTGATGCAGATTGTACACAGCTGACATATCAAGAGCTGCTTATACAATATATGTGCACTGAACATTTGCTCAAATCCATGAGGAATAACAGTGCAGGACCATCAACCCAAAACATGACCCACACTTCTCACCAAACCACAAATAAGATTCACTCTAAAACCTTTGGTCTTCTGACTTTTTTTTCCTTTTACTATTTTAAACAATAGTATTAATATTGCATTTCTTCAAATTTGTGTTTTTGGTTTGGTTTTCGTATGTAGAGTTTTTGTTGGTGGATACGGTGGTCACTAGAACAAAGTGGATGTCACATCAGAAGAGTTCATGTAGATGAGTGTGATCATTGTTGTGACATTAGATATAAGGAGGTGACTTACAGAATTCTGCAGAACTAGATGAGTGACAAACTGTATTGACTCTGGACTTTAGTTCAATGTTCTCTCGTGACATCATTAACACATTTCCTCTCCTGTTGTCCAGCCCCCAGTGCCCCTCCTCAACAGGTCACCGTCCTGACCGTGGGCAGTCAGAACAGCACCTCCATCAGCATCTCCTGGGACCCCCCTCCTCCAGACCACCAGAACGGCATCATCCAGGAGTACAAGGTCTGTCTCTCTCACTGAGGTTTTCAAACTTTCTGCTAACTTGACAGTAGTTGGCATATTATTAGAGACTTCATTAGTGAAGTCTCCAAGAATATGTTTTTAACTGAAACTGTTATATTGTACAACTTCTTCCACATGTGCAGAGAGTGAACCTTTGGGGAAATGAATACATACAAACGGTGGATTTTTAGTCAGCAAAACATTGTATATTCATTGAACAAACTAAAAGATCGAACAATAAACATGAACACCGTCACCATTTTACTGCCCATATTCAATCTGTGTAACTGTGTGTGACTCACTGTAGATCTGGTGCCTGGGCAACGAGACGCGCTTCCACGTGAACAAGACGGTGGACGCCGCCATCCGCTCGGTGGTGGTGGGTGGGCTGCAGATGGGCGTGGTCTACAGGGTGGAGGTGGCGGCCAGCACCAGCGCAGGGGTGGGGGTCAGGAGCGAGGCCCAGACCATCGTCATAGGTGAGTTCAGCTTTTGACTGGTCGTGTAGGTTCAATCCTTGGTAAGAATGAGGCTCCAGACTTGGCATAACTTGGGTGGACCATCTGTACAATAACAACACACTGTCTTTATATTACTTTGAGGAGGTCACCAAATCATCTGCTTGTTCAGGAAGTTAACACCTGAAGGTTCTATTATGCGACACTGACTCTTTTGAGCTTTTGACCAAAATAGTATATTGTCACATGAAATCACAATTGACACTTTAAGCTACACTCACAGGTACACTCAGGGGTGTTATGTACTAAGACAAATAAGGTAGGAGAAGTCTGTTTATCAGCGGGACCCCATACACTAAAATCATTTGGATTATTTTTGCCCTGGAACTGTCGATCTCTACTGACCCAAAACCTGAAAACTACAATTTCATGACATGTTGGAACAGAGCATTTTGAGCTTTGCAGATGTAGACAGACTAATAATAAAGTGTTACTTAAATGTGTGATTGAAACAAAACACAACTCCAAGTCTGTTTTTAATGAAATAACATTATAACATGAGTCCATTTTACATAATATAGGAACTTTAAAGAAGCACAAATTCTGTAATAGTTGGATGACGCCAGAGTTAACCACAAAGAAATGTCCTTGCTGGAGATGTACAATTAAATAACACAATGTACTGCCACATTTGTCCTAGAGAATCCACCTCTCTCTTGTCTCCGTGGACATTTAGTTGCGTTGCCTGAAATTGTCCACAGTACGGAATAAAACGTATCTATGTGAAACACAAGCAGGTCGATAATGAATGTAATGCATCAAAAATGTCAAGGCAGAAACGACAAAGCAAAGTCTAATGTGTTGATACTTCGCAGTGACATCACGCTGTATGTGTATGATGGAATGTTTAGAAGTTACCATGATGACACAATGCACGCATGAGCAGACACAGCCAAAAAGTCTTAAGATAGTCTCAACTCTCAACTCAACTCAACTAATCATCTCACGTGTTGTAGTTCCAGTCAAGTCAGTTCTTTCTGGTCAGATTGTGTAAAATGAAAGCTCAGATTAATGTCTAATTTGAGTAGCAGAGCTTCAGACAGAACAATGCTTACAGTTACACACACATTTCTCTGATCTGGCCAATATCTTAAAACTTATATCAGGTTATTCATCATGATTTCAGATCTATTATCGACTTACTAGTTCTGAGATGTTTCATTCTAATCTAGAGGTTGTTTATTTTAAGATAAATTGTCTAGAAAAATGATCTTGCTGCGTGGACAGATCATTTCACTACTTTTAAGTCTTTTTCTGATAGATTTAAGTGTTTATATCTGAAATTTTGGCCAAACTTTTATGCAGTGTAGTGCTACACCTCCAGATAGTGTTGTAGTACTCAAGACCTCAAGGCCTCAAGACCGTTTTTTTGCAGTCTTGGTCTCGTCTTGAATTCAACTGCGTCTGGATTCGGTCTTGTCTCGGTCTTGAAGGCGCTTGGACTCGGTCTTGTCTTGGTCTTGAAGGTGCTTGGACTTGGTTTTGTCTCGGTCTTGAATTCAACTACGTCTGGACTCGGTCTTGTCTCGGTCTTGAAGGTGCTTGGACTCGGTCTTGTCTTGGTCTTGAATGAGTCTTGGACTCGGTCTTGTCTCGGTCTTGAAGGTGCTTGGACTCGGTCTTGTCTCGGTATTGAAGGTGCTTGGACTCAGTCTTGTCTCGGTCTTGAATGCGTCTGGACTCAGTCTTGTCTCGGTCTTGAATGCGTCTGGACTCAGTCTTGTCTCGGTCTTGAAGGCGCTTGGACTTGGTCTTGTCTCGATCTTGAATTCGCTTGGACTCGGTCTTGTCGTGGTCTTGAATTCAACTACGTCTGGACTCGGTCTTGTCGGGGTCTTGAAGGTGCTTGGACTCATTCTTGTCTCGGTCTTGAAGGCACTTGGACTCAGTCTTGTCTCGGTCTTGAAGGCGCTTGGACTCTGTCTTATCTCGGTCTTGAAGGCGCTTGGACTTGGTCTTGTCTCGGTCTTGAAGGTGCTTGGACTCGGTCTTGTCTCAGTATCAAGGTCTGACACTCGACCAGTGAGAAAATGGAGATAGATGTATAAAAAAAGTCAATGTGTTGTGGTCTTTGATCCTCAGAGGTCTTGGTCTTGTCCTGGTCTCTGGACTCTGTGGTCTCGGACAGGTCTTTGTCTCGATTAGTGCAGTTTTGACTACAACACTACCTGCAGGGATTGTTGATGACATCAGAGGCAAAGTATCAAAAATCATAATTAAACTCTGAATAACTCTAATGTCCATGCAGTGAGAGTGTGACCGTGACAGCAGATGAGCGAGGCGGTGAGGGGAGCGTGCTGTGTGGAGTTATGGAGCGCGTGTCATTTTCACAAACACTCTTCTGGTGTTTCCTCGGTCTGATGTATGAGCGGGTGTCGGCCGCAGCCTCATTTGACCCAGAACGGATGGTCTGGCCCGCAGCGTGCCTTTATTTCCACTCGTCCCATAATCCGTCTGTGCAGGCCCCGGCTCTGTGCAGGACATGTTTGTGGAAGTGGAGAAGGAGGAGAGGAGGAGAGAGGGCAGTGTAGGATGGAGAGGTGATTGGTGGAAAGGGAAATAACGCTGTAAGCTTAACGTTCTTTTTAAATGACAATACAGCAGGAAATGCATTTGTTGACATGTTTTGACAATGTTTTGTTGACATGCCTGCAAGCTGTGCAAGCCGTCTTCCCCGGTGTTGGTGGGGACATGTTGTATATCAGCTTCCTGTAGAGACAGACCAATCAGGTGGCTCAGACTGATTTGGTTTCTGGAGGAGGGTGTCCCAGGTGTGTGAAAGGAGGAACTACTATTGTCTTTCAAAAGAACCCAAGAAGTTCATCTACAAAAGAAGATAAAATGAACATTTTTGGAGTAGCAAATAAAACAGGTTCTGATTGGACGACAGTGTCAGACAGAAAGGAAACCTCACCCCCATTAAACACAAACCTACACAAAAACTATGTCAATCATTTGTGCTTTGTTTGTGCTGTTTATTTATTTTCATACTCATTTCTGGACCCATGTCATTTCCGGCCAGAAATAACGTAATGTAATCAGTGAAATAAGTAAGTAATAACTTTAGAAATATTAGCGCAAAAAGTGAAATATTAATGACACACAACAGCACAAACAAAATAGAAAGAATTTACCGTATTTTCCTCACTATAAGGAATGGTCTTAAGCCTCCAACTCCATCAAAAAACAATTGCGCGCCCCACAATCCAGAGCGCCCTATACACGAATCCACTCGGGTGTCCCAGCACGACTTCAGTAAACTACAAACACACCACCCGCAGACACACAAACACATACAGCGACCACACAGCGAAAAACACCCACAGACACACTCATCACTCCACGCCGACGAGGAACAGAACAAAGGAGTGAACCAAAAAAGCAATGTGCCACTTCTAGACACAACTGAACAACTGAGTCACTGCGAACACGCCGACAATCCGTTGGTCCCAGACACACCCTCCCTACACGCCACAACTGAACAAAGCCCAGAGTCACCGTGAACGAACAAACAAACAAAACCACTCACCCATCACACTGTTGGGTTTCCTTTAAAGTCCCACACGGTTTATTTGTGAAAAAAGTTCAAAAATACACCATTTAATGACAGTGTGTCTTATAATCCAGAGCGACTAATAGTGCGGAAAATATGGTACATTACGTCATTCCTGTCCCCTTGCCATTTCTGGCCCGGAAATAACGTCATGTAATCAGCGACATAAGTAAGTAATAAAAGTAAGCAATAAGAAAAGTAGTAAAGTAATAAAGAGTAGTAAGTAATAAAAACAATATTAGTGCAAAAAGTAAAATACTAACGCCACACAACAATACAAACAAAACTGAAAGAATTTATGTAATAATTTGCAATTTTTAAGCACAATTTAACATAATATCTTAAGAACCATAATCGCACAAATGAAAGTTTTTGCAGCAGAAAACAGCACAAATGACGATTGGCACCATTTTGTGTCGTTTTAGAGCATTTTGAAGCCTCCTGGGGGCTGGCTGACCCCAATTTGACCTTGAAGAATCTTTAATATTGTCAAAACTAAAGCAGCACAAACAAAATTTATGATTGACATAGTTTTTGTGTAGGTAGAAAGGGGACAAGGAGTGCGAGGACCATTGAACACACCCCACGTTTATCTATCTCACTCACAGTAGTAGAAAGTATGTGATTATGTATTATTTGGGTAATTTTACTTTTTTTAGTCTATTTTTAAACCTGTACTTATACTTGAGTAATTGAGTATAATCCCACCCATGTGATTATATGTTTGTGTATAAACTACTGATCTAAACTGTTACTAAAACCAGTTTTTGGAGTAGTATTCTTAACACAGACTTAACTTTTAACCATAAACACACTTTATCTCTTTCCCCCTTGGACGTGACTAGGAACAACTCACACATATATGACTAGAACTACCCTTAGAGCATAACTGCATAAAAGAAAACAGACTTCCACGAGTGATTATAAATGATTTTTACACTCATGAACTTAATTGAAACACAGACAGATTTGTATCTCTGGAAACCTTAGACTCTGAACTCTTCATTTCTGGATGTTTAAATGTGATTCAACTCATTTACAGGTTTATAACAGCTCACTGAAAATGAGAGTTTACCTGCTCAGGTGCAAAATCGAAATAAAAAAAAAATACATTCAGCATCTGATATCTGCATGTTCGAGTACTATATTCATTAAAAAAAAAAAAAAATCTAAAAATATATTTGTCAAAGTATTTAAACAGATTTCATATCACCAGATACAGTAGAGCCAAGTGTTCCCAAGTGTTCACCTGTTTTTACCTGTTGTTCACCTGTGTGCACCTAATTCATTTTTTTCAATTTAACTTCTTCAACTCATTTAACTTATTATAATATAATAATATAATAATAAAACTCTTCCCCGTCAGTGGGTGTCCAGTATTTGTCTTGGTCACTGTCTCGTGTGCAGAGCTCCTGTTTGTTTCTGTAGCAATTCTGTCAAAAAGACTGAAGTATTTCAAAGGACTCGCCTGAGCAACATCCAGATTTCAGGGATATTTTGGTTCATAATCGAGTATAAAGTCCCGGATAGTTTGTTTGGATATCGCAGGACTTCATGCAGACGCATCAGCGGCATTCTCACCTTCGTAAGATTCACTCTCTGAAAGTCCGTCACTGTCGCTGTTTTCCACTTTATAATCAACTTCATCATCACTTTGAAATCAATAAAAGTCACTTTCTCTAAACGTATCCATAAAATACGTCTGTTCCTCATTATTTCTAAAACCCGTTCGCCACAGCTCCTCAATCTTTCCATTGCATGTGTTTCGTGTTGTGTTTTTTTCCGGAAGCTACAGTCGTCACTACTTCGACAAAAAAAAATTGACGAAAACATATCCTTGAATCCTATTGGTCAGCCTAGTGTGGGTTGTAGTGGCCCCCACCTATCACAGTCTTTGTTTACATGTGAAAAACAGGAACCGTTTCTAATGGTCGTCAAATCACGTCTTTAGTGAAACAGCGGAGGAGTCAACAGACGCCATTAAAGGAAACAAAGGGGTCGTCAAATGTCGTCTTCATGGGGGAAAAAGTTAAGCAGCTGTACTTGTAATGAAGTACATTTTAACCACATAACTGTACTTTTACTTGAGTACACATTTTCAGTATTCTTACTCTCTAGCCTCGTGTTTACCCAGTTCACTTTGCAGTTATGTTAAATGGATAGAGCCTTGGAGCTGAGATGAGCGGTTGGAGAAAAGGGCGTATCTCCCTTTATACAAATGATGTAGAGTGCGGCGGCTGCGTTCTGCTGTGTGCGCTGCATATAAAGTCTGTTTTGATGAACTTTACGGCTGGTTTTCATTTGGTGTGCGCGTGTGGGAGCGGACAGCGCGGTTAGCTCATATAAAGCCTGCGTGGATCGATACAGGGCCACAGTCTTCTTCTGAAATGGAGTGTTTTTCAGCTGTAAACAGAGAGGACGGGAGCGCAGAAGATGAGTGCAGGTTTTCCGAGGAGAGACGGTGGAATATAGACCTCTGGAGTGTGTGGATTTTTGAGTACAGCAGACTTGTTTTGGTCCATAGATTTTTAAGTTTTGCAATAAAATGTGTTTGTGGAATCAGATGCTCGTCCGTAGAGGGATGAGTCAAGAGCGAAGCAATCGGCTGTACCTGCACTACGAGCTGTTTTTAGGCCCATATTATGTTTTTTTTTCTTTAAGTTGTCATGTAGTTTCCTCATCACAAACATCAAAAACACAGTTCTGTGCCTGAGTTCTTACCTCAAACAGAGAACACTCTGTTCCACCTTGTGATGTCAGGTGGTAATACAGGAAATGTTCCACTGTGTTTTTAAACGCCATACACATTCACTAGAATCATTTGAATCATTCCAGACCTGGAATTGTCAATCTCTACTGAACTAAAGGTAAAAGGAGCTGTTCACTTGAAAACCACCTCGACATGACATCACAAGGTGGAACAGAGCATTTTGAGCTTTGTAGACAGACTAATAAACCAGGTTAACTGAAGCATGTGCAAAGTGCAAAGTACTTTTGTGCTTTACAAAGGATACAAATTGTTTCTTGGAGCACCACACGAAAAAGTGCTGTTGTTCTGCCACTGTAAAGCTGTTACACTGTGCTTTATGTTTTCATTGTTATGAAAAGTGATGATACACATAAAGTTAATGTTCATATCATTTTCAGTCTTCAGTGTTAATTTACCACACCGGACCAAAGATGCAAATCTGCAATGTCCCAGAAAGCACTGGATGTGAAGGTCTCTCAAAAAAAAAGTCAGGATTGTGTATTACTACCCCATATGATCATTTTCCCCAAATATCAGATTTTTCCTGTTACTAAAAATGTATTTGAGCCTAAGAGGGATGGCTAAAATAATATATTTTGCGTAATACAGGACCTTTCATTTATTTATTGATTATTTATTTTTCAGATTGGTGCAGCAAATAAACAAAAGTTTATACAGTAATAGCATGGAAACAAAAGTTGAAAAAACTAAAGGTGTAACTGTAATAATTCCTTAGTCTTTAACTAATCCTACCTTATTTCATGTTAATTCGATTTATCTTAAACCTTAATATTTTCATCCTATTAAACTGAGTTAAAGAAAAGTACATCCAACAACCTACATGTACATTCAAGTATACAACTGTAGATCTCCAACTGTTTAGACACTGGAGTCCACTGATTATTCTGTTTATTATAAACATTTATAAAAAAAAAAAATGGGGCAATCATGAGTTTAATCTGCCTCTTACATATAATCACAACATATCCTGGTACATTTCTGAATAAAAATAGTAGTTTTCTTTTGAGTGTTGTTTGAGACACACACACGGTCAGATCAGATACTGAATAGTCTTTTGCCACACTCTGTTTTTTAGTCATTTAATTTACTTTAATGGACTAAGTATTTGTTTACTTGGCTACAGCTCTGCAATTCAACATTAGGTGAACACTGTCATATTCATAATTCAAAGTTGTATTTTGTTTGCATTTTACCCAGATTGTTGTGTCACAGGTAAAAATCCAGATTTGTCCTGTGCAGTTTTGTCCACAACTACGTTCTACTCCTACTATTGGTACTACTTCCACTACTACATCTATGGCACCAATAATATAAATGAGGTGTCTTCTACTACTACTACTACTACTACTACTACTACTACTACTACTACTACTACTACTACTACTACTGCTACTACTACTACTACTACTACTACTACTACTACTACTACTACTACTACTACTACTACTACTACTACTACTACTACTACTACTACTACTACTACTACTACTACTACTACTACTACTACTACTACTACTACTACTACTGCTACTACTACTACTACTACTACTACTACTACTACTACTACTACTACTACTACTACTACTACTACTACTACTACTACTACTACTACTACTACTACTACTACTACTACTACTACTACTACTACTACTACTACTACTACTACTACTGCTACTACTACTACTACTACTACTACTACTGCTACTACTTACTCTTCTACATCTATGGCACCAATAATATAAATGAGGGGTCTTCTACTACTATATATATATATGTATTTTTTCTGTTGCTGATTCCTGCTGAAGACCGCAGACAGCTCCAGTGCCTAATTACCTCACTGAAAACAAAGGAATACAGTGTGTTTTCCAAATATAGACTTTTTCCCCTTCTCCTCCATAACGTCTGTTTGTTTTTGTTTTTTTTCTCAGGTAAAGAGTTCCGGGACGTGTTCATCCATGGTAACCGTAACAACAGCATCACGGAGCAGATCACAGATGTGGTGAAGCAGCCGGCCTTCATCGCGGGCATCGGAGGGGCGTGCTGGGTCATCCTCATGGGCTTCAGCATCTGGCTCTACTGGAGGAGGAAGAAGAGGAAGGGCATGAGCAACTACGCAGGTGAGAACAACCAACACACACACACACACACACACACAGACATACTCAACATATGCTTTAAAAGTTATCAATGACATTTTTGTTTTTCCATTGGTGATACTTTAATCTGTACACTTTTTGACAGTTAATTTTTTGTGAAAGGCATCTGGTATATATTTACCTTTTTCCTCATCTCTTGTTTCAACCAGCTTTAGAGCAGCCAGTGGAGCTCACTGTTGGCTGTGGATTTCTAGCTCTGGAAGTACAATTACAATTTATTTATTCTATTTACATGGGACTTTCAAAAATAAAATAATAATAATAAAGGATAGCACATGGCTATCTACAACTTCATTATGTTTTTAATTTAATTGTGAAATGCAAAACTGTTAAATACATAAATAGAATTAGCAGTTGTCCGCAGTCAGTGTTGAGCTTCATAATGGTCTTGCCAAAAGAAACAGTATAGGCTTCAATGAGATTTGAACCATGAAGCTCTCCGTTTGGTGGTCAGTTGCTTAACCCACTGCACCACTGTTTACCAGTTACTTCCAATGAGTTTTATTGTTAATATATCACACAATATGGAAGAAATATTCACATTAAAAGCTGTCTACCTCATTGGGAGTCTTGATGCCTTCAGTGTACACCAAACACTGGTTAAACAGCTGCTCCTGTCAGCTCCTGTCAGCTCCTGTCAGCTCCTGTCAGTGTGAGTGGACTCAGAAGGGTTGGAGCTCTTTGACTCCTTCGCCCACACTGAGCCCAGGGCACCGGACTCTCCCGATGGTCAGTGAACGCAGCTCTGGCCAGGATCTCCGGATGGTCGGCGAATACACCGTTCACCCGCTCCTCCCACACACACCGACCCTGGCAACTGTGAGCTCAGCCCACCCGTCCACCAGCCCACCAGTCCACCAGTCCAGAAGCCCCGCCCAGACTAAGCCCAGTCAGTCCATGTGGCAAACAAGGCTCTCTGATCAGCCTGTTCTAGTGTTCACTCTCATATCATCATATTTACTTTGACAAAACTCTAAATGACACAGGTGATGGTCGGGGATGGCGATATATCGATCCCAATAATGGACGATATTCATTGATTTATCCATCAATAAAAGTATCAGCCAGTGTCCATATTTGATACAGATTTTTTTTGGCACTGTTAGGCGTCCATGTGTCTTCAGTGCATCAAATTTGTATTTTTAAACAAACGAATGAGTAAAAATGGAAGTAGAAGAGCGTTATGACAGAAACATAAATGTGGCTGTTTGCTGCAGGTGTTCCAATCAGTAGGAGCAGGTAGAGGGTGCTCTTGGAAAAAGGATCAAAACTCAAACACAAAGGATTCCAGGCAACTCCAAACAAGTAGAAAAAGTAAAAAATTGCACGAGGAAAAATATAGTTAAAAAGGCCTTTATTTGAATGGCCAAAGCCGACATGTTTTGACCTTAACTGATCTTCATCAGGGCTTAAGAAGAGCGTTATTTCACTGTCACAAACATGCAACTAATTAGTTTATATCCCAGAGAAATACATTTAGTGATCATTTTATAACAAAAGTGAAATGTTCATTTGTCAACTTCATTTCAACATAAAGGCGCACTGCTCATCTTCTCTGGTGCAGGGTCCGTCATCATCTTCTCACGTTCCTTCTCCACAGATCTGAACTGTAATGTAACATAGTGCTGTAACCTGCTTGTGTCCCTCATGACAGATAGTTTTAATCTATACTGTGGAACATTCTAGACAAAGCGATATCATTTCTATAAAGACAAGCAGGTGGCGGACCCTCCACTGGAAATGTTACGCAGCACAGGATAAATTAAGATACATTTGTGGGCCTTGCTACTACAGATTTTAAAAGCTAAATATTGGTACTGACAAATATCAGTTATTGTTATCAGCTCTTACTCCTGGTAACATGAAAACTTTCTTGCTGTAGTTCCAAACAAATTGGAAATGACATGTCTCTGTATGTCTGTTTGTGATGACTGTTCCACGCCCAGAGCAAACCAGGCAGCTGAAATCCAATCCATGTCCTAAACAACAGACAGACTAATAATAAAGTGTTACTCAAACATGTGAGAATGAAACAAAACACAACAATCAATCAATAATATCAACAATCAATATAGAACTTAACTTTAACTTAACTTAACTTAACTTTAAATACCATATTGTTTCTGTCTATAAGGCGCACTTAAAGTCCTTAAATTTTCTCAAAAATCCACAGTGCGCCTCATGTATTAATTCTGGTTGTGTTTACTGACCTCCACTGAGTCGTGTCCTTTAGTCTGACAGAAGCTGAGTGCACGGAGTGACCTGTTTTTTCAGTGTTTATAGTTTATGCAAATGAGTCATGTGGTTTTACCGTATTTTCTTGACTAGAAGTCGCTCCGGAGTCGCACCAGCCAAAAAATGTGTAATGAAGAAGAAAAAAACATATATAAGTCGCACTTTTTGGAGAAATGTATTTTATAAAATCAGAGACCAGGAACTGACATTTTATCTTGAAAGGCAAGTTCTAGTAAAAACAAAAGAGAACAGTGAAGTGACAGTGGTAGTAAACGTAGTACTAGGTACTCACACACGAGCTTAGAGCGCCCTCTCACCGCTGTCAGTCTGAAAATTTTAATATAAGTCGCAAAGGAGTATAAGTCGCAGGAAACACCCAAACCATGAAAAAAAGTGCGACTTGTAGTCCAAAAAATATGGTAAGTTTCATTTCTGTAAAACATAAACAAATGTGGCAAAGCTGCATCAAACACATTATTACTCAATGTACACTACCGTTCAAAAACTTGGGGACACTTACAAATTTCCTTATTTTTGAAAGAAAAGCACTGTTTTTTTTTTCAATGAAGATAACTTTAAACTAATCAGAAATACACTCTGTACATTGCTAATGTGGTAAATGACTGTTCTAGTTGCAAATGTCTGTTTTTTGATGCAATATCTACACAGGTGTATAGAGGCTCATTTCCAGCAACTGTCACTCCAGTACATACTCTAATGGTACAATGTGTTTGCTCATTGTGTCAGAAGGCTAAAGGATGATTAGAAAACCCTTGTGCATCATGTTAGAACAGGTGAAAACAGTTTGGCTGGTTAGAGAAGCTATAAAACTGACCTTTCTTTGAGCAGGTTGAGTATCTGGAGCATCACATTTGTGGGGTCAATTAAATGCTCAAAATGGCCAGAAAAAAGAGAACTTTCATGTGAAACTCGACAGTCTATTCTTGGTCTTAGAAATGAAGGCTATTCCATGTGAGAAATTGCCAAGAAACTGAAGATTTCCTACAATGGTGTGTACTACAGCTAGAATGCCAAAGGTCTACAACGCTGTAATTGCTGCAAATTGAGGATTCTTTGATGAAAGCAAAGTTTGAAGGAAAAAAATATATTATTTCAAATACAAATCATTATTTCTAACCTTGTCAAACGTCTTGACTATATTTTCTGTTCATTTTACAACTCATGGTGGTAAATAACAGTGTGACTTTTCATGGAAAACACAAAATTGTCTGGGTGACCCCAAACTTTTGAACAGTAGTGTATATTTGAGTCGTCCTCGTAGGAAATCAAAAAATCAAAAAATGAAAACTTAAATGATCCACCCACATTCACATTCATAATCCACATTCACCAAGACAGAGAGACAACGCCGGGTGAATTATGCCACGATCTGCCAATGGATCATGGACGCCTGGACTAAGGATCAGGCTCAAGTGTCGTCCGTTTGTTTCACTTAATGCTTCTTATAATCCAGTGCACCTTATGTATGAAACTAGACGAGAGAATTCAACATTATTAATATTGTGCCTTATAATCCCAAAAATATGGTATGTATTTTACAGGTTCCAATTGTGGATAGTTCTAATGTTTGATATGTTATTATTGTTTAATGACTTTGTATTTCATTTCATTTTTAAACCTGTTCCATATTATAAGAACATTGTGTGAGAATTGATAGTATTCATAATAGAACAACAAATAAGAAATCATGCCGTTTTGATTAAAACTATTTACAGCACAGGCAAATTAAGTGCAAGTGCTAATTAAGGTAGTAATTAAGTAGTTACTAAGCATGAATCATTATTAATTAAGTCTTTGTTCATGCTTTATTAAGGCTAAATACGATGTAGTTATTATAAAGTGTTACCAAAGAAGTACTGTTGTGTATTCCAGACTGAATGTACAATGACAAATCTTTAACTTGTTTTTATTTTAGTATGTCTGTATATGTAATAGTATTTTGTGTGGTCGTGTTGTCTTGGCTTTGCACCTTTGAATTGTCTGCTTTCCCAGCTGCCCCTGAACGCACCCAGAAACTGTACTTACTTTTTACTGCCCTCACCCCGCCCTTACCTCACCTGGGCAGCTCCTCCGTGGGGCTCACCTGTTACCCCCACCCTCCCCCCCGGCTTGCGCACTCCTCTAACTCCGCACTTCTCTGTCTTCTTGTTTTGCAGTCCAGTCCTTCACGTTCACCCCTGCAGGTACTGTTCATTTGACCCGCCTCCTCGCTTTGACCCATCCCACCCTCTCCACTCGCACTCTGCTAAACTTCTTATTCATAAATATACTTCGTTACATCATGGAACTTTCCACGCTCTCTCCATAAACATGCAGAGTGTTGTTTTCATTTCTGTCTTATGAATCTCAAAGCATGATCTAGACTCATGACTATTGACCCAGCTCAGGCATAATTACACAGTTACTCAATGATTTTGCACTTATTTAATGCTTTTGTGATTAGAGGGAATCACAGGGTCTCTCAGGATTCGATACAATACATACACGGCTTACGATACTTTATTATCACGATATGACCATACATCTGATACAGTGTACATGATACTCTGTCATATATTGTTGTTGTTTGTTTTTTTTATGAGCCAAATCCATTTTAGCAGCAGTATCACGCTGTCAAACCACTTCTTGTGCCAAGTTAATATGAAATGCATCTATTTTAATCATCAGAACTGTAAATATGTCAAGTGAGTCGCGTAAACAAGTTTCCTTCCACTAAATAAGCAACGAGACTGTAGTGTGGTCACGAAATAAAATTGCTTAAGAGCAGCCCACAATTCAATTCAATTCAGTCTTTATTAAAAACACATACTATCTGGTTCTTAGTAAGTATCTACAAAAATAAGAAGAATTAAAAAAAATATATATACGTAGCATGTTATAATGTATACAGACAAGACCGCCGTAACTAAGGTGAGTGTGACAGATACTGTATCACCAAATGTAGTATTATATATATTTTTGTACACCCCTATTTGTGATGTTTTTGTAGATTTTGCAGTTTGTCAATTCTCAAAACATGTTAGTGTGCTGTTGATGCTTGCATTCTATTATGAGCAATGTACAGGTAATATTTTGATACTTTTGCTTGACAGTAGTAGCTGTAAAGGACCGTTCACACCAAAGCGTCAAAAAACGCCTTGACGTCTCTATTTGGACGCCTTTGCATGTGAGTTTAGACGCCATCGACGTGCGTCTTTGACGCCGTGGAGGAATGCGAGAAAAATACTTGACGCGCGCCCATTGCCCTGGAAGCAAGAGCCCAGTTCCAGTTTTTTCCTGAAACGATGTCAGACCAGACTGAGAGAGACTTTAGTGTTTTTATAACGTAAAACCATCAGCGGAGGAGATCGGGTTGACGACTGAGGCGTATATATATTTATACTCCACTAATAACACTGGATCAGTCCTGGTCTAGTCCAGGGCTAGTCCTTGTTTATTCACAGTCTAGTCCTGGTTTAGTCCTGGTTTAGTCCTGGTCCGGTTCTGGTATAGTCCTCGCGATCGGCTCGGTGATTGTGGTGTATATATTTATGCTCCGCTCATGTTTGTGGCTCTCGCTCTGGTTCTCGGGTCTTTCTTCCTGATAATAATAACATCGCTCCGTCACTGGATACTCATCCTAGATTGGTTGATGCGTCGACGCCAGATTCGCGCAGGACGGAAAAACGCAGGACGCTCTAGTCACGTGTCCACAGACTTTACATAGAAATTGGACGCTTTGACGCTTTGGTGTGAACGGCCCTTTTAACAGTGTACTTCTACATGTTTAAAAACAGCAGTACAATCACAGCTGAACCTGGCGCTATGGGTTGCATATACTGAGAACACATGATATAGGGTGGCCAGGCGTCCCATTTTACCCGGTACAGTCCCAGTTTTGAGCCTGTCCCAGCAGATTTATATAAAGCCACTGATTTGTCCCAGTTTATTCAAGAAATGCCTTAGTTGTCCCAAATTTGACCACTTTGATACCCACCAAGAGTAAAGCTGGGAATATATTGTCATTTCTTTAGCAAAAATACTGAATTTTATATATATATATATATATATATATATATATATATAATATATATATATATATAATATATATAATAATTGATTTTAGCCTCTAACCGTCTTTGCCATGGTGGGTATTGTATCGCATGGCTCCCATGGTTGCTCTTATAGCCCAACACATCTAGGATCACTGCTGCTGAAGTGTATATCAGCTCATTGGTTTCAGTGATTGTTGTGGTAGGGATCACTGTCAGTGCTGCATTCACATCGTCTAGGAGACTTTCAGATGGTACTTCACTTAGCCTCTGTTGCCTTGTGTTCATTCGGGCCATGATCTTATCTTTCAGGTCAGTCGCTGCCTCGCTCAGCGTGATACTTATTGGGGTTTCGTACCCAATCTCTGGTTGGGAAGTTGGTGTCAACTCCCCTCTGACCTGGCACACTGGTTCCCCCCTTGCTGTGGCATTTGTGTTGTACCTCATCAATCTCTAGTTGTGATAGCAGTTGCCGTTTGTTGATGTTGGAACACTGAGCTACTAGTTGTTTGGCCGTTAGCTTGGACTGTGGGTATCGTAATAACCATTTCTCCCACATCCTGTTCATGTAACCCCTCTGCCTAGGGTTACTGTAGTAGTAGCATTCCAACAGAGCCTTGTTCTCGCATCTCGCCCATTTCCGCCGTGTTCCAGTAGCCCATTTTTCATCAAGGTGCCCTGGTTCCCCAGCACCTGATGCAGACCTTGTTTGGCCTGGGCGACGTCTGAGCCGGCATGTCATACGTTTCTTTCTCTCTCATCATTGTATGAGGTGGGCAGTAGCACGAAGGGTCTTGCCCAAGGACCCACACTGGTTAGCTCATTGCCCCCCCTGCCCCGTCAGAGGGGGGATTTGAACCCAGGTCTCCCATGTGAAAGTCCAGTGACTTCCCAATTGTCAAAGAGTAATCTTAGTAGTCGAGCCCTCATTTATATTATTGATGCCATAGATGTAGTAGAGAAGAAGTAACAAAGGTAGTACTAGTAGTAGTAGTAGTAGTAATAGTAGTAGTAGTAGAAGTAGTAGTAGCAGTAACTTAGAGATACATCTAATACATTACTGCAAATTAAACAAGCCAATAAAATGAATACTGTTAAGTAGTAGTAGTAGACCTCTCGTTTATGTCACTAGTGCCATAGATGTAGTTGTGGAATAAGTAGTAGTAATAATAGCAGCAGTAGTCGTAGTAGTAGTAGTAGTAGTAGTAGTAGTAGTAGTAGTAGTAGTAGTAGTAGTAGTAGTAGTAATGACTTAAAGATACATCTAATGCAATCCTGCTAATTGAACAGGCAAATCAAATTAATACTGTCAAATAGTAGCAGTAGACGACTCGTTTATATGTTTGTTATTAAAAAGTATAGGTGCCATTGTAGTAGGGTTAAGTAGTAATAGTAGTGGTAGCTGTAATAGTAGTAGTATTAGTACCCTACTCAAAAAAAGTGACACAGTACGTCTTTATACTGTATAATTAAAGTCCATGTAAAGTCAAGTATGACATTAGTATGCAGATGACATGAAACCTCCAGACTCAGACTCGTGTGTCCATGTGAACATGAGCACACACACTCACATACCGCCACACACACACACACCCTCACACACACGCACACACACACACACACACATATACACACACACACACACACACACACACACACATACACACACACATATACACATGCGCGTGCTTATTAAACACGACTGAACGCGAGCGCTTATCTGCGGCGCGTTAGCTCGCAGCGTGTCGGTGCAGTAGCTTCAAAGTGCTCCACCATGTGCTCGTGTGGAGATAGGGGCTTCAGAGGGGCCACGGCGGAGAGCCCCACCCCACACAACGTACTCGCCGTGGGCTGGAGCCGGACAGATACCGCCGAACAAAGGCACAGCGCGTTAGCTGCAGTCGGGCTAAAGGCTGCAGCGCGCCCCCAGCTGTTGGGCTTTTGTTTTGGTTTTATTTCAGGCTAAATTGTACCTCTGGTTTAATTTGGCCAACAGTGCGTTAGCCGTTAGCATTACAAATGGTGTGTTTGATACAGAGAGTAATCCGACTTTAACACTGACACCTGATCTTTCTGACACCTTTGTTTTAAAACAACACTCCCATTTTTATCTACATGTTCTTATCTGAGTGGGGTGTTTCTGCAGGAAGTATATGTTCATTCATTCACTGGACATGCAATAGTAAAAAGTACTGCACTGCTACTACTAAAAACTACATTGAAAAATACATACAAAAAAAAAAAAAAAGTTATAAAACACTGTTGTAAATACTAAGTATAATAGTATAATATCAATAATGGTCTCACTACAGTAAATAAATAATGTGCTAAATAAAAAGTATATCTGATAGTAATAGGATTTAGCAGTTCAAATGAATACATTCATTAATGTGATAAACATTTCCATTTACATATTAGAATTTTTGTGTCAATAATTCACAAAAATATACATATCAAGAACCAAGTCATCTCTTTGGAGTGAAAAAAAAAAACAATAAAAATAAAATAAAACATTTCCACTTCAGTAACACCTCCTTTAGAAATCTGAAATCTGCGTCTGTTTTTCTGTACGTTAGTGAAAAGTCCCTACTGTTCTCCTGTCTCAAACACAAACATTTAGATATATGAAAGAATATGAAAGATTTTTTTTTTTAAGTCAGATGCCCTCCCTACATGTGAGCACAGATGACATCCTTCCTCAGCTCCTGTCCTCTGCTCTGTGGGGAGTGTGTAGAGTGTGTAGAGTGTGTAGAGTGTGTAGAGTGTGTGGAGTGTGTGTCTGTGTGTAGAGTGTGTGGAGTGTGTGTCTGTGTGTGTAGAGTGTGTAGAGTGTGTGGAGTGTGTGGAGTGTGTGTCTGTGTGTAGAGTGTGTGGAGTGTGTAGAGTGTGTAGAGTGTGTAGAGTGTGTGGAGTGTGTGTCTGTGTGTAGGAGTGTGTGGAGTGTGTGGAGTGTGTGGAGTGTGTGTCTGTGTGTAGAGTGTGTGGAGTGTGTAGAGTGTGTGGAGTGTGTGGAGTGTGTGTCTGTGTGGAGTGTGTGGAGTGTGTAGAGTGTGTAGAGTGTGTGGAGTGTGTGGAGTGTGTCTGTGTGTGGAGTGTGTGGAGTGTGTGTCTGTGTGTGTAGAGTGTGTAGAGTGTGTAGAGTGTGTAGAGTGTGTGAGAGTGTGTAGAGTGTGTAGAGTGTGTGGAGTGTGTGGAGTGTGTGGAGTGTGTGTGAGTGTGTAGAGTGTGTAGAGTGTGTGGAGTGTGTGAGTGTGTAGAGTGTGTGTGTGAGTGTGTGTGTGTGTCTGTGTGTGAGTGTGTGGAGTGTGTGGAGTGTGTAGAGTGTGTGGAGTGTGTGTCTGTGTGTGGAGTGTGTGGAGTGTGTGTAGGGGGTCCACCTCCCGCTGCTTCCTCCATGTTCCTCTATGTTCCTCTCCACAGGCGTCACGGGGCCCTGTCCTCATGGGGCCCTGTCCTCATGGGGCCCTGTCCTCGGGGGCCTGTCACACTCAGAGTCCTGGTCCACACACATGCTTTCAGTTCACAGCACTAGTGATATACATCTGTTCATGCGCACGTAAAATATAGAGTTTCATACAATGAGTTCCAACTGACAAAGTGTATAACAAGAATACTAAATGTTTTGAGTGTCTTGCCCAGTGACACAGTAACAGTGAGGTTTGAATGGGCTAGTCCAGACCCAGGCATTTTTCAGCCCCCACACGTCTCTGATAGTAAATATTCAACTGTAGTGATATGGAAGTCTCCTATATTGTACAGAAATGATCTTTACTCGGTGATTGTGCGACATGCTGTATACGAGTGCCATTTACACCCATTTAAAGGAGCATTATGTAACTTTTTCTTTCTCCCTTGCACACCTCCACACTCCCTCCTCCCTCTCCCTCCACATGATGTATGAGCGTGTGTCTGCTCTGATCATGTGGGCCTGTGTTTAATCACAAATCTCATATTAACCTCCAGATGAAAGCGTGTGGCTCTGTGCTGCTCCGACACACAGACACTTATGTCAAGATATCAACACGGGTTTATAGACTTGAACGCTTATGCTGCAGGTATAGAAATCAATAACAAATCAAGAGAAAACAAACATTACATTAAAGTCAGTTTAACTTAGCCCATAAAATAGAAACATTTAAGTGCATATGACAAGTTTTCATGTGTTTCTAAATCTGACGTGGTTTGATAAAACCTGTGGTCAATATCATCGTTTTACAGTTAAAGAGCCCATATAACACAGTTTTGTGATGTTATAATGTTGTGCCTCATCACAAACAGAAATGGAGTTGTGTTATGTTTCATTCATTAAAAGGTAGTTGTTCACTTGAAAACTATCACTACATGACATCACAAGGTGGAACAGAACATTTTGAGCTTTGGAGATGTAGACAGACTAATAATAAAGAGTTACTCAAACATACAGCATGTGAATGAAACAAAACACAACTCCAGGTCTGTTTTTGGAGACGTAACAACATTATAACATGGATTAAAGCTCACAAGAGTCAATTTTGCGTAATATAGGACCTTTACAAGTGTCAGTTTGTTGTAAAAAAATACAAAAATATAAGAAGTAGTGTTGAGTTCTATAACAAAATCCCTCTACATATGTCATCAACACAGAAAACTCCATCCAAAATGCAAGAACATACAGTATGTCTCCTTCACATTCATGAATCATATTGTCCATTGCATAACATGTTTTTTCTTCATTATATACTGCAGTATTGACTTGTCTTCTGTTCCATATAGACTGATTTAACATTTAATATTGTGTTTTTCTCTTGTGTTTGCAGTGACATTCCAAAGAGTGGATGGAGGGCTCATGAGCAACGGGAGGTGAGTCTGCTATAGAACGCTTCAGATTGTACTGAAATAAAAAAAAAAAAAAAAAAAATATATATATATATATATATATATATATATATATATATATATAAGATTGAGGTTTTACACGAAAAGGTATACTACATGAAGGAACCATTGAACAAGTCACATGTGGGGTTGTCTTAAGTATAGAAAATCAAGTTCTAATCAATACTAAAACTAATATTGACAGTAGATGCTCGCTTGAGTAGGTATCGATCCTAAACAAGTCTCAGTAACAGCACATAAATGAGTCTTCCCTGAATGTGTTTAGAATGATGTTTCTCTGTATCAGAACAAGTAGAAGAGCACATAGACTAGTACACACACATGGACCAGTATGGAACAGATACTGATACAAGGACACATGGGAATAGAAAAGAAAGTACTACTATTTAATGTATTTAATGTGCAAAATCATTTTGGACTATTGTTGTGGTATCAGAATCAGTACTGAGTACCAAGTCTTGAAGTTTTAATATCGTAGCAGTAGTAGTGGTAGTTGTAATAGTGGGATAAGTAGTAGTAATAGTAGTTATATTTGTAATATTGGAAAAAGTAGTATTAGTAGCAGTAGTAGTAGCAGTATTAGTATTAGCTGTAGTAGTAATAGTAGTAGTAGTAGTAGTAGTAGTAGTAGTAGTAGTAGTAGTAGTAGTAGTAGTAGTAGTAGTCGTAGTCATAGTAGTAGCACCAGCAGCAGTAGTAGTGGCAGTAGCAATAGTAGTAGAAGCAGTAGTAGTAGTTGTAGCAGTAGTAAGTATAGTAGTAGTAGTAGTAGTAGTAGTAGTAGTAGTAGAGTAGTAGTAGTAGTAGTAGTAGTAGTAGTAGTAGTAGTAGTAGTAGTAGTAGCAGTAGTAGTAGTAGTAGTAGTAGCAGTAGTAGTAGTAGTAGTAGTAGTAGTAGTAGTAGTAGTAGCAGCAGTAGCAGCAGTAGTAGTAGTAGTAGAAGTAGAAGCAGTAGCAGCAGTAGCAGCAGTAGTAGTAGTAGTAGCAGCAGTAGCAGCAGTAGCAGTAGTAGTAGTAGTCAGTAGCAGCAGTAGTAGTAGCAGTAGTAGGCAGTAGCAGCAGTAGCAGCAGTAGTAGTAGTAGTAGTAGTAGTAGTAGTAGTAGCAGCAGTAGTAGTAGTAGTAGTAGTAGTAGTAGTAGTAGTAGTAGTAGTAGTAGTAGCAGCAGTAGTAGTAGTAGTAGTAGTAGTAGTAGTAGTAGTAGTAGTAGTAGCAGCAGCAGTAGCAGCAGTAGTAGTAGTAGTAGTAGTAGTAGTAGTAGTAGTAGTAGTAGTAGTAGTAGTAGTAGTAGTAGCAGCAGTAGCAGTAGTAGTAGTAGTAGTAGTAGTAGTAGTAGTAGCAGTAGTAGTAGTAGTAGTAGTAGTAGTAGTAGTAGTAGTAGTAGTAGTAGTAGTAGCAGTAGCAGCAGTAGTAGTAGTAGAAGTAGAGGCAGTAGCAGCAGTAGCAGCAGCAGCAGTAGTAGTAGTAGTAAGCAGTAGCAGCAGTAGTAGTAGTAGTAGAAGTAGAGTAGCAGTAGCAGCAGTAGCAGCAGTAGTAGTAGTTCTGTCTTTACTTTATTTTGTTAGTGATTGTTTATTGGAGCACTTATTAAAGGAGCCACCTGCTTGTCTCCATGGAGATGTTATTAGAACATTAGAATGTTCCAGAGTGGGGCAGTGAGTGTTTTGTCGTGCTCTGTCCCTCTGCTCTCTCATTAGTCCACATGTGCGGCCGATAAATAGTCTTCCACAGACACTTTTCTGAACTCTTCCTACGCAAACACTCGTAAATGTGCATTCTTCCTTCACGTATGTCCCGCTCTTCTCCTCATACATCTCACCGAGCAGAATTAGCGTCGCTCTTTGCCACGTCGGGCCCTTGTTTTGTCATTTATCTTTAGCGGCGCTGGGCTAGGGGCCCTCAGAGCCGCCGTGATGGATGGGCCTGTCAGCGTGTGTGGGCGGTAGACTTCCTAGCATGTGTAATAATGTAGGAATCATTACCCAGGGGACAGGTGCAAGAGGACAGGTGCGGGGGGGACAGTGGGGGTCTTCACATGGGGCCCCGTAGTCGAGGGCCCCTGTACGTCTGTCTGTGTGCTGGTTATCTCTGTGAACAGAAAGGTGATTGTGTTATGACTGCAGAGAGGCTCGGGTCTGGGGTCAGCGGACATCTCTGGGGACACTGTTAACATATCTGGTATTCAAGTAGTAGTAGCAGTAGCAGCAGTAGTAGTTGTAGTAGGAGTAGTAGAAGTAGTAGGTATGAGGTATAGTAGTAGTAGTAGTAGTAGTTAGTAGTAGTAGTAGTAGTAGTAGTAGTAGTAGTAGTAGTATTGGTTGTAAGTATAGCAGTCGTAGTAGTAGTAATAGTAGTATTATGTCTCTCTTTTTTTATTTTAATCTTCATGATTATTTATGTTTTGATTTGTTTTTATTATGATTTTAATGTATTTCTTATTCTGTAAAGCACTTTGAATTACTTTGTGTACGAATTGTGCTGTACAAATAAACTTGCCTTGCCTTGCCTAGTAGTAGTAGTAGTAGTAGTAGTAGTAGTAAGTAGTAGTAGCTGTAAGTATAGTAGTAGTAGCAGTAGAATTGGTTGTAAGTATAGCAGTTGTAGTAGTAGTAGTATTAGTAGTAGTAGTAGTAGTAGTAGTAGTAGTAGTAGTAGTAGTAGTAGTAGTAGTAGTAGTAGTAGAATTGGTTGTAAGTATAGCAGTCATAGTATTATTAATAGTACTAGTAGTACTAGTAGTAGAATTGGTTGTAAGTATAGCAGTCGTAGTAGTAGTAGTAGTAGTAGTAGTAGTAGTAGTAGTAGTAGTAGTAGTAGTAGTAGTAGTAGTAGTAGTAGTAGTAGTAGTAGTAGTAGTAGTAGTAGTAGTAGTAGTAGTAGTATAGGCTGTAAGTATAGTAGTAGTAGTAGTAGTAGTAGTAGTAGTAGTAGTAGTAGTAGTAGTAGCAAGTATAGTAGTAGTAGTAGTAGTAGTAGTAGTAGTAGTAGTAGTAGTAGTAGTAGTAGTAGTAGTAGTAGTAGTAGTAGTAGTAGTAGTAGAATTAGTTCTAAATACTTTTCTTCCTGGTTGGTCTGTATTTGAGTCTCTCGATCAGAGGTTTTAAACACTCTGATGATCCGCCGCACTTCCCCGTGACAAACTGTGCAAATGGATGTTCCAGAGAGCGTCCCCGAGCTCCCGTGTCAGAGTGTGCGGCTTCAGATACGAGCCGAACCAATCACCCACTCCTCAAATGTGCAGACGCGCCCCGAATCCAGGCACTTATGCGGAAAATGGACGAAAAAACAGAGGAGAGGGAGAGCTACCGTAACACAGTGTGGCTAATGCTCGTCCGCGGCGCTCGAATGGTGCACGGACATTAGCGCAGAACATTTAAATATGAATGGTCCCCGTCACATGCTCCTGTGGCGGAAAAATCTAACTTCAAATGGAAAACGTTAATATAAAATGATCTTGAAGTCAGTCAAATCCATTAAAACAGCACTATATACTGTAACTCTTTGTCACTATGCAGCTGTAATTGCTTTGCCTCGAATGTTTCACAGTATGGCATTAAACACTTCTAGAAAAAAAAAAAAAAAATAAAAAATAAAAATTAAGGAGTGGATATTTTACTTTTATCAGGTATTAAGTGTAACACATCACATATTTCGATCACCATCTTACCTTTTATTGTTTTGGAAATGCAATATTTTTTTAATCCTTCCATTTTCTTCCACTTTTCCGGGGCCGGGTTGTGAGGGCAGCAGTCTGAGCAGGTACTCCCACTATTCCCAGACTAGTAGTAGTAGTAGAATTGGTTGTAGGTATAATGGTGGTAGTAGTAGTAGTAGTAGTAGTAGTAGAATTGGTTGAAGATATAATGGTGGTAGTAGTAGTAGTAGTAGTAGTAGTAGTAGTAGTAGTAGTAGTAGTAGTAGTAGTAGTAGAATTGGTTGAAGATATAATGGTGGTAGTAGTAGTAGTAGTAGATTTTTTTAAAGATATAATGGTAGTAGTAGTAGCAGTAGTAGTAATAGTAGTGGTAGTAGTAGTAGTAGTAGTAGTAGTAGTAGTAGTAGTAGTAGAATTGGTTGTAGGTACAATGCTCGTAGTAGGAGTAATGAAATCATCCAAATGATTGTAGTGAAGGAGTATGGAGTTTAAGAACACAGTGGAGCACTTCCTGTATTACCACATGACATCACAATGTAGAATAGAGTGTTTTCTGTTTGAGAGAAGAACTCCACAGCTCCAGATCTGAAGTTGTTTGAGAAGTTTGAGAAGAAGTCAAACACAACTCCAGGTCTGTTTGTGATGAGGAAACAACATTAGGACAGAGCTCATAAAACAGAGTAATATGGGCCTTTTAAATAAACTATATCATCAATTAAAAACACCCCAAAACAAAATGAAAATAAAAAGTTTGTTTAATCTTCTAAATGGCCTCACACACAAACAATGACATCTGTATAACTGGCCCTTGTTCATCTCTTTGGTTCCACTAGCTCCCAGATGTTTGCACTTCTCCATCTGGCCCCGAGCAGAGCCCACCATCAGCGCGCCCGCATTCATTTGTAACCCGCCATGTTTGCCGCATTAATTAGACAATAGCAAATGGAGCCCCCCGAATCCTCGCGCTCTGATTGGCTGCGGCTAAATTGCCCTGACTGAACAATCGCACTTAATCGATCATACGAGAAATGATTCGCAGAAGATGAATGGTTGCCAGATTGGAGCACGGGGGAGCGTTTGACTTTGGGGACTGGAGTGAGTGAAACTGATAAAAGCTCAGAAGAGAGGAGCGTTCTGACTGCTGCTGAGCACGTTCACATCGAGGTTCTTGGTGAGTCGTGTTGATCGGGGTTTGGCAGTGGGGTCAGGAGGTCAAGATTGGGGTCACACTGTTTTGAAGACCTATACATGTTTGACAAGCACTTTGCAGTTGTTGATTTGAGTCAGATTAGTTCAATACTGATCAAAGTA